AAAAAAAAAAAAAAATACCCTTTTCCAAAAAAAATAGTCAAAGAAAGAGACGGCGGTGTGTGCGTTCATTATTTGTCACTTGGAAATTTTTTTCTCTGGAAAAAAAAGAATTGTTAATCACTGTACTGTAAATACAAAAAAAAGGAGGCTCAAGTCTGTGCCAACAATTATCTCGGAACAATCGAAACGAAACTCATCAAACACAAACGAAATAAAAAAAAAAGTCATCCTCATCCAGGAACCCGCAGTCACATCGAAATTCAAATTAATCACCGGAGCAATCAAACAACAGTTGCGCACACGTAAAAAAAAAAGTCGTAGTCAGTAAAAACATAATCCCCCCCGTCTCATACCAAAGACGCACAAATAATTTGCGCAAACAATTCAGCGTAAATTAGATAAGAAAAGTCCCAAATCCCTCGTAACGCGAATACAAGAGCAATTCAGCAGCAGCTGCGGTAAACAGGATCCATTAGGAAATTTCAAAGAAGCGCGTCTACGTAGGTATATACACATGCAGCTCAATTTAAATTTCATCTTGGCCGGGTATAAGTGCATTGCCTAATACACCACTGGCTCTTCCTTGATTGTCCGATCATTTTGGCTCGCCGAGCCAACTTGTGTTAATGCGTCCGTGGCGCCTGTGCGAGATCAAAACAAGTTTTGCAGGGTACACACAACTTTGGGGATACATTTTGATGAAAGAGAGTCTTGATTCAATATGGAAATGGAAACGATCGGGCCAACAGTTTTGGCAACGAGTGCGCTCTTGCAAGTGGAGTAGTTACCTATATATATATATAGGTACAGCACTTGAAAAACAATACGTTATTGCTCGCGTGCACTTAGTCCTGCAGCAGTGTGTTTTGCTCTCAAGAGGAAATGGATAAAAGAGAGAGGACGAATCGGCTAGTCGCTCGAGCGAATAATGACTCTCGCCACGTCCATTACACACGATACATGTTCATTTTTGTATTGGCTCTTTCACGGGCTCCTGTGCGTATATATCGCGTATACTTGCACGTAAAACAAAGACTCGAGACGGATGCATGGAAAAGAAAAATGATTGGGTGAATAGGTTCGGCCTATGATACGAGCCGTGAAGAGTGAGAGCCGGAGAAAAGGATACTCATTTTTTTTTCTCTCCCTCTTTCACTTCACGGTGAATGTATATTATTATATATAAGTACGCAGAGAAGGTAAGAAGAAGGTGGAGATGACAAATAAAAAAAACAGAAACGACTCGAGGTAAAAAGTCGAGTAGTGCATCCGTGCTGTTTTATACTATATATATTTATACGGTGGGTGGGTGAAGCGAAAAGACACGACGACGTCGCGCTCTACACTGTATATAATCTACTTATACTCTGGTACACCGGATAAATTAAACTCGCTGAAAATTGTATGATGCTCTTTCTCTCGTCTGCAGACCTTTTTTTTTTTTTTTTTTTTTTTCATATAAATAACTCGTGAGGTATTTTTTCACATTTCTGTAGGACCGCCCATTTGGAATTTTCCTAATTACTTTTGTAGCGTTGAATTTGGAATTTAAAATGTACGTGTGTACAGCCCAAGGTTTTATATAAAATGAAGTATAAATTTTTACAGTAATATCACTGCGTGGCGATGAGTTTAATTAATTAATATTATCTTCGTGCTTTGCTGTGCAAAACAAACGTCGAGGGGTGACGATAGGAATCGATGAATTTGGTAATACGAGTTGGGGAGGGAAGGAGGGTACGTGTAAGTAAGTGTATAAACTTCCCGCTTTTCCTTCGCTTCCTGTCTTATTGCCTCATCGCCGAAATCACGCGCCGATCTTTGGCTGTAATCTTACACTGGAAATTCAAACGAGCCACCTGCAATGCGGCTTTGTGTACTGCGAAAAACCAGATCCGTCTCCATAAAACATTGAGAATATCAAAAGTATGACAATCTAGTTTTTTTATTCATTCGTATAGTACAGGCGCTTGTTGCGGTATATCGGGGGACAAAAATGCATAAGATTTTACTAAATTCACGGGTGTATATGGAAAATTAGTTATATGAACATTGATTTTTATAAGCACCAAGTTTGAGAAAAATTGTGAGAAGCGTATGGGGAAAACAAAATTCGTCAAATTATGGATTTTCTCACAGATAACTGCTGGTTTTGAAAAAAATTCCAGACAGACAAACTTTAGAAAATCGTAAGACGAATGAGACACGTTATTACCTATACATACGCGTCTTATTCCAACTGACCTACATTTTCACGTAAATTAATTATTCGGAAGAGTCAAGTTAATAATAAAGTACCTGCGCACATCCGCACGGACGGATATGCTGAAGTGTACATTTCGTACGGGATTTTTGAAAAGCTTAATCTAATCATTGTCTTATTAACAAAGGAAACTCTACTTTCGCGTTTTGATTTCTCATTATCATCTTTTTTTTTTACGGTCTAAAAAGTCGGTACGAATAATACACGTTTTCATACATGTATTTCTCTTCATAATACACGTTTGTCACAAACATGCTACCATTTTTCACCTGATAAACTATTTCTGGTAATCACATGCGTTCAAAATGTTCATTATTTTGTACGTGTGCGGTACTTATTATAAAAAATTATCGGCTTCGTATACTCGCGATTTTACTTCACCTATTATCATCATACGAACCCGAGACGAACCCCATTGAAGTCGAGTTTTCGACTACTTGACTTTTGTGCTTTTGTCGACTAAATTTTCCATTATTCATCCGCGAACCAACAGCCAAAATGGGATTCCTCGATATATTATAACTGTCGGCATTAGCTGCATATAATATGATTATTGGAGCGAACGGCGCGCCTAATTTAATTATACAGTAGAGTGTATGATTAACTCACACGTACATCATACTCGTGGCACGTACAAATACAAAATGTATACAAGCGTCATTCAGCAGCTACCGCATTAATTTACGTAAAATAATATCATTGTTTTACCAAACACCCGCACCCCATGTTAATTGAACATATAATATGTGTACATTGCTAAATACTCGCGGTTCGATGAATCAAAGAAAAAAAGAAACAAAAAGATCCTTCGTACAGTCAACTTTTTTTTTTTTTTTTTTTTTTTTCTTGCACTCGGGCGTCAACGAAACGTATATCACTGAAGTATGAGCTCATATAAGCCGAAAAAAATTGAGTCACCGGCGTCGTCGGTCGGCGTCCCCGCGGGCACGCTTACCAAGTTTCATTACTCTTTCATTCCACGTGGCTCCCATCGTTCATGTGACACGGGCTCTTGATCCCCCCCCCCCCCCGTATACGTACGGGCAATATCACGGGAAATCAGCCGCGAGAGAACATGTATATACATATTTTTCTCTGATCTTGCACACTTTTTGATAAACGATGCAATAACGGCTACACGTAGTTGATGCTACACCCGTCATTTATCGCGAATCAAACAAATCCAAAAAAAAAACAATATAATATCATATACGTGTATAAATAAACCATGTATACACGAGGGATGTTTGGAAATCGTCTCTCCCGAGAAAAACGGTCGCGCAATAGTTTTTGTTTTGCATGGACAATAAACAAATATTTCGATACCAAACTCCCGAGAGAGTTGCAAACTGCACGTACGTGTATATATAAATGTATATTGCGGCCGAAGAAAAAACAATGTCTGTGAAATAATGATCGCGATTACTCATGCTCATTCGACCGTTTACAGATGGGGGGGGGGGGGGGGGGGGGGAGAAAGAAAAACCAGAGCGAAGCAAAAAGAGCGTCAATTCGCTTCGCAGGACGACAATATAATACAACGACGCTCTATTCTGCGGCTGCTGCATAAGAGAGAAAGAGAAAGTTTTTCAATTGTATTCCGACTAATCTCTTGAAAATTAAAGTGCGCTAGTTGCGAAGGAAAGAAAAAAAGTAACACCGGCGTTTTCTACGCTTTCCTCTTTCTCGCCGTTGTGCACGTAATAGACACACACCCACGCGGCGCAAATTTAAGAGGCCGTTACGTGTGTACGCGTGAACGTATTTATGCACACCTCCAGTAGTGAATAAAAAAAAAAAAAAAAAAAAAAAAAAAAAAAAAAAAAAAAAAAACAATATACCGTCGCTTCCCTGATCAAGTGCTGCGGTAAGCGAGAGAAAAAAAAAAGCCAAATGAAAATTAAAAAACGCCCCACGAATCTGATAGATTGTACATGTGTTTCGCATTAAATATCTCCGAGCTCTTGTATAATAAATATACCTTTATTCTACATACACTTGTGTACCCTGACGCCGGCGCTAACCGTAAAAGCCCAATTTTTAAGTCATTTTACCACAGTAGAGCGCACTCACACTCCTGTGAACTTGCATCACGGTACACCTATAATACTCCCTGCTTCTGTTTTCCCTTGGCTCTACGGCATCCTTCTCCTCCTTCTCTCTGTCTCGCGCTAAAATCACACGCCGCGCGTGCATCAAGGAGTCCTCGTTGGAATTTCAAATCGTCGAGCTATAGCGGGTACCTGTACATACAGGTATACTTACGTAACGATTCCCGATCCCTTTGACGTGAAAGAGCCACTGAGATTTTTTCGAAGCAGTGTTACACGACACATCATGTACTTTCAATGGATTGCACGTACTGAAGGGCTAAAGTTGGGTGAGCAAATAACCAAAAGAAAAAATTAAAGGTGAAAAAGTTCACTGCCCATGTATACATATAATAATTATCTGTAGGTGTATGCGCGAGGGTCGGTGAAGCGAGACAATTGTGCACGCGACACACTATGCGTGCTCTTCCCCTCTCCATTGTGTAGACGAGGTACATATAAACGTACATCAGGTATAGTATAATAAAGCGGGTGTAAACGCGGGTGGGAGGAACAAAACACATGCACTAGTACCTATAGGCAAGCGATAAAAAAAAAAAAAAAAAAAAAAGAGAGAGAGAGAGAGAGAAAGTCGTTACAGAGATTCCTCTCGCGTTACTTAATTTTACCCATGTCTCTGTTCACAGTTCCAGATCTTTGACGCGCAGTGGGATCGGTATGTAGTAGCCGTATCGTTAGCGGGAAAATCAGCACGATATATATAGATGCCGTCAGCCGCGCCGAGAGAGGCCCACGAAGGAAGCGGGCGAGCTTACGCACCACGCTGATCACCACCGCACCGCAGGATCGCGCGGACCAAGATCGGCATCGTAGGCAAAGAGGGTCCAATTCGTTCCGAGTGTGTATATATACCCATATATCGTCAACGACATCGTAGCGGCGGGGCCAGGATGTTCCGCTCAAAGATGCGGATACACACGTGCCAGGTGATCCTGCTCACCTCGCTCGTGTGGTTCCTCGTGGACGTGGCCATTCTCATGTTCTACTCGGACTGCATAAACGGGAGCGGCTGGAACTGCCAGTCGGTGAAGAGCAAGCCGATGAGTCTGCAGTTGGCCGGCTCGGACGAGCTCGAGGCCGTCCGGCTGGGGAGCGGCGCGAAAACCGAGGCCCAGAGTCCGCAAGTGCAGCCGGAGGAGGAGAAGGAGGAGGATAAGCAGCAACCGGAGAGGCGGACGTACAAGCCCAGTCAGTTGAAACCGTGGCGGCCGGCCAAGATAGTCCGTGAGGGCAGGGACAGGCCCGGGGAGATGGGCAAAGCCGTGCAGATACCCGAGGAGGACGAGCCGCGCCAGCAGGAGCTCTTCAAGCTCAACCAGTTCAATCTACTGGCCAGCGACATGATATCCCTCAACCGGTCGCTCAAGGATGTCAGGCAGAGCGGCTGCAAGGGCAAAAGGTATCCGAAACTACTGCCCGACACGAGCATCGTCATTGTCTTCCACAACGAGGCCAAGAGCACGCTCCTCAGGACCGTGTGGTCCGTCATCAATCGCTCGCCAAAGTCCCTCCTCAAGGAGATCATTCTCGTCGACGACGCCAGCGAAAGAGGTTTAGAGCGAAACATTTTTACCAATCTATGCGGGTACAAAGAGCTTTTGCCCAACTCGATGGTTTATTTATTTATTTTTTTTTTTTTTTTTCAGAGCACCTGAAGCAAGAGCTCGAAGACGAGGTCGAAGCACTTCCTGTGCCAACCTACGTGTACAGAACGGAGAAGCGCTCGGGTCTCATTAGAGCTAGACTGTTGGGGGCGAAACACGTCAAAGGCCAGGTGATTACCTTCTTGGACGCCCATTGCGAGTGCACGGAGGGCTGGCTGGAGCCTCTGTTGGCTCGAATAGCCTACGACAGGAAAACCGTGGTCTGTCCCATCATCGATGTCATTAGCGACGATACCTTCGAGTACATAACCGCGAGCGACATGACCTGGGGCGGCTTCAATTGGAAACTCAATTTCAGATGGTACACACGCCCCTTTTTTTTTTTTTGCCTTTCAATCATATTACATACTAACGTCCACAAATCTGTACATAATGTATGGCGCGCGTGTATGATTGTAAACAGTTGAAGATAACGAGGTTTCGATCGATTTTAGGTACAGAGTGCCCCAAAGAGAGATGGACAGGAGGAACGGCGATAGAACGGCACCTCTGCGGACGCCGACCATGGCGGGTGGACTGTTTTCTATTGATAAGAAATATTTTTATGAACTTGGTGCTTACGACGAAGGTATGGACATATGGGGTGGAGAGAACCTCGAGATGAGCTTTAGGGTGAGTTTCTTTCTTTTCTTTTTTTTTTTCACTTCTCAAAGTGCACGTTACTAAGTCGAACACGCAAACAACTACTTTGATTTCAAGTGAGGCATTTGAGTGACAATGATTGTTATTGTATGTAAAGAAAAAAAAAACAAATTAACAATCGAGATTTTTTAGCATCGAATTCCAGTGAGAAGCGATTAACACGCACGTTCGTGACGTAACCACCTACGTCGGAGCTTGAAAAAGACTTATCAGACTCGAGCCCTTGAAAATTGAATCATTTAACGTAACGAGTTTATTGTAGGTTTGGCAGTGCGGCGGTACCTTAGAGATCAGTCCGTGTTCCCACGTCGGGCACGTGTTCCGCGACAAAAGCCCGTACACGTTTCCCGGAGGCGTGAGCAAGATCGTCCTGCACAACGCGGCCAGAGTGGCCGAGGTCTGGATGGATGAGTGGAGAGACTTTTACTATGCCATGAATCCAGGTTAGACTCAACAATCCACATAAAAGAAAAAACGATAAAAAAGCTCATCATCAAGACTTTTGCCATTTTAAATTCCTATCGTTTAACATTTCACACGTAATGTCAGCTCATGACTTTATTGCTATACTTTCATCATTATCAAATTATCAAGTAGATCCCGTAAGCTTCAAGCTCCACAACGCTAGATACATACGTATTGTATCAAATAATACATTGGCTTCTACTAACTTTTTTAAATTAGTTAAGATTCTGGCTCGAGTTTTTTTTTTTCGTATATCCATTAACAACAAGTACACATAGAACCCCTTAATTACGTATTGAAATGTTATTCATTAATTTTTGGTAATGCTATACTTACTTACTCTTGTTAAACATCTGTCTCATATTTACGTATTTTACAATACCATATGTATACCTTTCACGCATAATTATCACCATTTTTGTAATTTGGCATGCGGGTTTCAGCCTATTACATTTATATTCATGTATCATTAGCGTAGACATTTCATATATTAATTATATAAGCTACGTAATAATAAATAATAGCAATAACAATCAACTAACGTTATATAACATGTATCCCTACATACTATACCTTTTACCATACGCATTAAAATGTCTTAACCACTCATCCAACCAGCCGTACTAACTTAAAAAACAAAAACAAAAAATCATCCACATTTGCTCATACGTATATCTCCCAGCAGCTGTATGTGCAAATTTCCATGCTATACGTGTCTTGTAGGTACTTATAAATTTTTTCGACGCAATAATACTTGGTACTAATACTATGATAAATTTCCATCAGCTTGTAACAACTCGTCGAACCGATTTTTTAACAGAGCAGTTTTTGCAGATAATCGTGATGAGTGTGCAGTGTGTGTGTGTGTGTGCTTGATAATTAACGATTCTTACATAAGTACATAATACGTAAAATCGTGTTTCTGTGTGAAAAAAAAGTCACGCGTTCGGCTTTTAAAACACACGTTAAAATCCACAAATAAAATGCGAAACAAAAAGCAAAAAGAGAGAAAGAGAGAGAGAGAGACTAACCGAGATCGAGTGTATTGGCTTAGATATGGATGTGTGGCGGAACATTGGAGATAGCCACGTGTTCTCACGTTGGCCACGTGTTCCGTAAATCGACGCCGTACACGTTTCCCGGCGGTACGAGCAAGATCGTCAACCACAACAATGCGCGCCTCGCCGAGGTCTGGCTGGACCAGTGGAAATACTTCTATTACAACATCAATCCAGGTAGCCGCGCTCTGTAGCACGCAACGCTCGCTCTCTCGCACAAATAATAAATAATTATACGTTTTTTTTACAACACCCCACGCAACTCAATTGTTTATATACTTACATATATTTGTTGTATTTTATTTGTTATTATGTGCATATGTTTTTGCGGCTATACACACATATATATACTGTTATACAATTTTGTTATCATTGTGTACGTAAGAAAAAAAAAGCATGCGCGTGTTTTATTTTTGTACACATAAGTAGCAACGATTTGATATATTATACCAACGACGTGTTTACTCGCAGCTACACGCAGTGGCAAAAATGTGGCGATGGAAAATTAGAGTATACATGTAAATACATAAACTAAAAACGAATAACACCATAATATACTATGCGTTGACGCTCTTTGTACATATAATGCATCACATTGCACGATACGTATTTTCTACCTCACTTGTATATATATATATATATATATATATATATATACATTACATTTGCATTGATCCTTTGCTTGCATCCGCTTGTCTCCTTCATGTTATGTACAATATATTTTATAACTATGCATTGAAACATTTGTTCGCCATCTCCGACCCGTAAAATATACTGTTTCGACATTCAAATTCATGCACATCATCGAAACAGTTGTTTTCAGCACTCGAACCTCATAACTTTTTAATTATAGTTATCGATGCACGCGTTCACCCAAGTTTTGTTTTCGCGCTGCGTTTGACTTGTAAATGATGTTTTCCATCACTTAAAATCTTACCTATATTTTACTTTTTGTATAAAGTATATAACGTCCGATATGATATGGCACGCAGTGGCACGCGCTGTTACCTTCGGGTCTTTGCGAACGAGTGAAAAAAAATTTCCTCAAAACGACATGGTTTCAGGGGCACGAAGCGTCACGGTGGGCGACGTCTCGGAGCGCCTGAAGCTGAGGGAGCGACTGCAGTGCAAGAGCTTCAGGTGGTACCTGGAGAACATTTATCCCGAGTCGCCGATGCCGCTGGACTATTATTACCTCGGCGACATACAAAACGCCGACGGCCAGGGTCCGGACAGGGTTCAGAACTACTGTCTCGACACCATGGGCAGGAGAACTGGCGAGAACGTCGGGCTAAGCTACTGCCACAGTCTCGGCGGTAACCAGGTATACGCGTGTGACTTCATTGAATTTTCACCACGCGTATGAATTGAGCTCCCACGTAAACTTATACAATTGTCTCTTTTGTCTAATAGATATTCGCGTACACGAAGAGGCAACAAATCATGTCGGACGACATGTGCCTGGACGCGACGAGCCCTTCGGGGCCGGTGAAGATCGTTCGCTGCCACGGGATGGGAGGCAACCAAGCGTGGATATACAACGACAGGGTAGGCAAAGCTTTCTCTTGCCACTGGCAGTACAAAATGTACATTTAACGTTTTTTCTAATGGTGGCGTGAAATGTTTTTCTTGCTCAGACGAAAACGATCAAGCACGTGAATACGAAGCACTGTCTGGCCAAGCCACGAGGCAACGGGGCATCCCAGCCGATCCTGGAGCAGTGCGATTCCGACGAAATAAGGCAAAAGTGGATAATGAAGAGCGAGTTCAAGTGGCAGGCCAGCTAGTAGACGGTGAAGGCCGACAATGTTATTTCCCAACTTCTCCGAGGAGGGTCGGATACAAACGAGAGCAATGGAGCGCAAATCTCTCGCTAAATATCAACTTGCGCGCTCAAAAGTAGCTTTTACTCTTTGCATGGGAACGGGCTTTTTCATTACATTGCCCTCGATTCAAGAACATTTTTTTACATGCCTGACAAGTGCGATTTACGCGTGTATGGGTGCGTGTACGTTATACTTGGTTTTTATCCTTGACGCCGCGTTGCTGTTGAGGACGATATTATATATATAGTATACGTAGCCGTAAGGTACTCTTTACTTTACAGTGAAACACACGATGTACGAGCATGCGTTTGTGTTGACGTCGACCGGCACGTATACTGGAAACCGAAAACTCAACAGTGACATTTTTTAAGGGAGCTCACATTCAATTCTCAGTACGCGATGGTAAACAGCACGAGTCAGCGTATACCGCGACTAATCACCGGCCGGTATTTTTCGTTAGCGCGTTCGCTTTCGGTCTCAGTCCGATTCCAGTCCTTGCCTGTTAAAGTATACCTAAGATCTTTAGCCGTTGCAAAAGGCGTAACAGACAGCAGAGGCATTGCGACAGAAAAAAACGGACGGAGCGACAAAAACTCGGGTTACAGTTGATGTATAAAAAATCGTCGCATCAGCTCGAAAAGGAGACAGGATGTCCGAGACTGAAAATTACGGTATGAAATTAATAATTTTTCATCCGAGTTAGCTGCTTTTTTTGATTATTAAATAAACCGTTTTTTTTTTTTTTTTTTTTTTTTACAAGCACCAATACGCACGTGAATGAGAGAAATCGAGCACATTGACGCGTNCTGATTGAGAATTTTAGGAGCATATATATAAATAGATAATATTACAACATATAGGTATTTAAATAATAAATGGATCGATACGTACGTTTGTTTTGTGAAAACCAATGGTGCGTGGCACACGAGACGAACAATAATTAGCATATCACAATACTATACTGTTATATTATATAATTAAAACGTTATAAATGTGAAATTCAAGGATAAACGCGGAATAAGTGAAACATCAAATGAGATATTATATATAATATGTACACCGATGAAATCAATTTGAATGGAAATAAGACACTGTGAATATATATAATATGCTGCAAAGGTGCGCGTGAGAGGTGTTTTGTTTCGTGTATGTTTCATCAGTGTAGGGGACGTGTGCAATTGAGTGAGTAATGTATTATAATATAGTGCTTGTAATTAACTAAAGTCCGACTTGAAGTGCAATGATTCGAGCCTCTAATTTTTGCACACGGTGGTTGTAAGATTATGCACAGAAAAGATGTAAATTGTACAGCTATATACCTATTTTCAAGAGTCCACGGGAATTCTCATTGAGTAAGAAGAGATTGTTATTGATCGATGTTTTTTCGAGCTTGAAACAACAGTTCGCAAAATAACGCACATGGGACAATGGCATCTTTTTATACTGTTATTATAGTTCCTTGCGTCGCTATTGCGAAGTGATTCTGTTCATACTTGTAGTTATACTCAAATGTATGCAAAAGAGATTATTTACATTTTAAACTTATTTTATGTTAACTAATTCTTTAATCGGCTTCATTGCTTGATTTCAAATTTACAAATTCTTAGTCCTTTATGAAGAAAGTCTTCCATTACTTTTACCGTTTCTTCATTTTTTTTTTTTTTTTTTCCATTATAGACTTAAATAATTTTTCATCAAATATATATGTAATAATTGCTTTACATCTCGCAGACACGTACACAAGATTACTTGACGTCCATGTTCCGTATTTAAATAATATCCGATAGTCGTTGACTTTTGTACTGCATATATAGGTAATTTTTCCATTGTAATTGAAAAAAAAAACTCAAGAATGTCGAGAGTCTTTGTAAAATAGAAATGGTGATGGTGCAGGCTAAAAAATTGTTCTTTACACTTCATATATATATATATATATGGAGACATATATGTTCAATTTAATTAAGAATGTACTATTTATTTTTGTACAAACTCTTAATTCATCTTCAGTAAGAAAATTTACTGAAACATGGTTTGGGCGGAGATATCTTTGACAGATGATTACAAAGTGTATTTATATTGTATATGATATTAAAATAAAAAATGTCAAATAATGCATTGATCCCACTAATGGCCTAATGTTTTAAATGTAGACCATGTCTGTTATTTCAATATATAAATTTTTTTTTTTATATTAGAGTGCTCTACGTCCGGCTCCTTTAATAAGGGCACTACTATGGGCACTTAGCACTTGGGAAAGGGACAAGGAAAGGAATGGGAGGCCTCCCATTACTGGGAGGGGGTAGGGGGAAATTAGGCAATTTTGCTGCGAGAAGGTCGCCTATACCCTCCTCGAGGAGCATTGCGTGGTGAAAAAGCACATGTGAAAAATCACTCAATATATAAATGCCCGGGACAATATATTTTGATTTTTCATAGATTTGTATTTGCATTGTCGGGGATTCCTACGACGATTTGTTGAAAAATATACCTTTAATATACTCTAAACAATTTCAATGCAACAACTACCTAAAAAAATGGTAATTACAATAAACTACTTTATTAGAATGCACACGTGCTTAAAACAATTTATTTTTTATTTTTCAAATCGTCAATCTTATTTTTCAAGTTGATGGTAGGAAATGTGAAGTAAATAATAGTCAATTTGAAATGACCATTCCAAAAAGTTATGTTTAATCATCCGCATGAATAAATGTGTATTTTGTTTAATTACATGTATCATTAATCTTTCGTTATTGCCTACCTGTTCCAAAACGATTTCCAAACAAAATTCGAAAAAAAAATTTTTTATCTTATGTTTTAAACGTGTGCTACAAGAGAAAACCATTTCGGTTTTCCCACTTCAGAAAAGAACAAAATTACAAGGATAAATAGTATTTACATAATTTGGAAAAATAAAACGTATAAGTATTTATGTGCCAACATCAACTTATAAATATATCCTATATAATCTTCTGTGCACATGTGCACATAAATTAAATGCCATAAATTAATGGTAAAAGGTCTAAGGTATTGATAGTTTGTGAATATGGTTGATTTTGTAAGCCATATAAGATAAGTAGAATATTTATACTTTTATAGGTCAATTTTTGGCTCAAAGATAAATTGTAAACTTGCCGCAAACAGTACAAAATACGTCAACTTTAAATTGTCTATCTATAAGATTAGTTGCGGCTGGTTTATAGTTAACAAAGTGGCTCTACTGTAAGTATAGTAATAGTTATTTGTATCAGCGCCATCTAGCGGTCTTTATTTTTTGGCCAAAAGTGGCTCCTAAAATTCTCAATCAGAGCAATCAGGATTAGAGCCATTTAGCCGATTATAAAACAGCCGCATTTTATGATGAAGCTATAAAATAAAAAAATAACGATACATGTGTTTTTGGCGGCAAGTTAACAATTTATTTTTACTTGAAAATTCATCTTCAAAAGTATAAGTACATAGGAGGTCGATTTTTTGATAAAAAATAGATTGTTAACTTGCCGCCAAAAACACATGTATTGTTTTTTTTTTGTTTTATAGCTTTATTATAAGTTGCGGCTGGTTTATTATTGACTAAATGGCTCTAACCCTGATTGCTCTGATTGAGAATTTTAGGAGCCACTTTTGGCCAAAAAATAAAAATCGCTAGATGGCGCTGATCGAAATAACTTTTACTACTAACAGTAGAGCCACTTTATTAATTATAAACCAGCCGCAACTAATCTAATGGATAAACAATAAAAAGTTGACGTATTTTGTGCTATTTGCGGCAAGTTTACAATTTATTTTCGAGCCAAAAATCGACATGTAAAAGTATAAATATTCTACTTACTTTATATGGCTCATAAAATCAACCACATGAAAAAAAATTACAATACCTTAAGCTTTTTATCATTAACTTATGGAAGCACTTATGGATAGTCCACAGAAGCTGATCCTACCAAACCTACCTTGATTAATTTTTTAATTGAAATGACCTTGTATGTACACTGTTAAATGATTTTAAATATTGAAAGTTAACAAGTTGTTATATATAATAAATTCATTTTGATTAATCCTTAAAAATAATGTAATGGTTTATGTTTGATTTAAAAAACTTTCAGTGTTGTGTTACAGTGCAATGTATCACACATTCATGTTGTGAGGTTTTAACATTACAATAACAAAGTTTGATAACACACAAGTTGAAAGTCTCAACTAGTATCACAAATAGAAGAATATTAGAGACATTTGTGAACTAATAAGATTTACCAACGAGAAAAGTGAAACATAAATCTTGATAAAACGTTTGAATAAAGCAATTGTTTAAGTTTCATAACTTTTAATCATAACAGTTGATACCGTTAATATGCATTTGCTCTTTTAAAATTTGGTTTTTCCTTGTTTCAATAAAAATTTGTGTTACAGAAATCTTGAATTACGATCAAATACTTATACACGTAAATTAATCAGTCGAAAAGAGACAACTGAAGAAAAAAGGCCTAAAAAAGAAGTACAGTCACAGGAAGAGTCTCCTAAGAATGGAGCATTGGATCTTACTAAATAAAAAATACATTTATTACAGATAAGTTAATTTTAAGTCTTATAAATAAGCAAAGAACCCAACATTCTCTGATTATGTGAGATCTAATGCTCCATTCTCAGGAGACTCTTCGTGTCACTAAACATCTTTTTTAAGCTTTTTTTCTTGAGTCTGATTAATTCACATATGTGTTTATCGTTATTTGAGATTTCTGTAACACAATACATATCATATGAGTTAACTGTTTATTTAAACCATAAAAAGTTAAAGGGCTGTGCTTCCATAAATTAATGGTAAAAGGTCTAAGGTATTGTAAGTTTGTGAATATGGTTGATTTTGTAAGCCATATAACATAAGTAGAATATTTATACTTTAACATGTCAATTTTTGTCTCAAAGACAAATTGTAAACTTGCCGCAGATAGCACAAAATACGTCAACTTTTCATTGTCTATCTATAAGATTAGTTGCGGCTGGTTTATAGTTAACAAAGTGGCTCTACTGTAAGTAGTAATAGTTATTTGTGTCAGCGCCATCTAGCGGTCTTTATTTTTTGGCCAAAAGTGGCTCCTAAAATTCTCAATCAGAGCAATCAGGATTAGAGCCATTTAGCCAATCATAAACCAGCCGCATTTTATGATGAAGCTATAAAACAAAAAAATAACGATACATGTGTTTTTGGCGGCAAGTTAACAATCTATTTTTTGCTCAAAAATTTATCTTTAAAAGTATAAGTACAGTATGAGGTTTTACACAATNTTTATACTTTTGAAGATGAATTTTCGAGTAAAAGATAAATTGTTAACTTGCCGCCAAAAACACATGTATCGTTATTTTTTTAGTTTATAGCTTCATTATAAGTTGCGGCTGGTTTATCATTGATTAAATGGCTCTAATCCTGATTGCTCTCATTGAGAATTTTAGGAGCCACTTTTGGCCAAAAAATAAAGACCGCTAGATGGCGCTGATCCAAATAACTATAATAATACTTACAGTAGAGACACTTCATCAACTATAAACCAGCCGCAACTAATTTTATAGATAGAAAATAAAAAGTTAACATTTTCTGTGCTATTTGCGGCAATCTTACAATCTATCTTTTACCTGAAACTGACCTCCAAAACCGTAAATATTTTACTTATCTTGTATGGCTTATAAAATTGTCGCATCTGTTTCTATGCGATTGCCAGACGAAAATAAAGTCAAGTGTCAGTGCTAACAGTGAAGCAAATAAACTGGAACATAAATAAACAGTTTAACCATAATGATGTACAATTTTCATCAATAGAGTAGAATTTTGATGAAAAGTGCAAATCATACAACTGTTGAATAAAAAAAAAGGTGATATGGCTGATGCCGCTGCTGCTAGACGAGAAGCCCGAAAGAGGCGTATTTTAGAAAATTCGGAAAATCGTATGCATAAAATTTTCGGAGTATGCAAAAATGAATTAAATGACGGTAAAATTTTTAAGATTATCGATACTTAACCATATACAGTTTATGAAAATCATGATATAGTATACATAACCTTGTTCTAGTGTTAATTCAAAACTACTTTTACTATCCGCGTTTATTTAATTTTCCAGAAAGATTGGAAAGTGTCAAACATCCCTTACAATTAAAATTGGACAATGGTTTTGTTTCAGACGGAAATGATTCCGTGACTAAACATATTACAACGCAAAAAGAAAAAACTGAACGTGTTTCACAGAAAGGTAATATTTTCAAACAATAACATTGAGTATTTCTTAGTTGATGTAGAAAATATCAATTATTATTTATTAACTTATTTTAGAAAGCAATCCTGTAAAAGAAGAATGCAGGCTCCCAGAAACAAAACTAAAATATTCAGAGCCAGATAATCATATTGCATTTAGGGAAAGGATAGAGCAAAATTCTATCAGAAATAATGCAGACTCTGATAATTCAAATTTTGATACAACAGCTACATTTGATGCACAACACCAAGCACTGTGTAAACAAAGTCAGCGTTCTTTGCTAGTCATTTTGTTTTTTAGTCCTCTCTTTTGTTTATTACTTGCTGTGCTTGTGAATGTTTTAATTATAGCTAATGTAGATTTTTCATCATACAAGGTAAGATATTCTCACTCATTCGAAGATGCTCAGTTTCGAATGCCATTAAGAAATTATCTTTCTGCTGTACAGGGTATTTTGACACCTTACATTATTTTTGCAATCACACGACTGTGCCTTGAAAAAAAGTTTGAAGAATCTCAAGGAAGCAGTATGTTGGTGGCTGCATTAGTTCTATGTAATATTGACCCTGCCATAGTTCACAGTTTTAAAAAGGTGTTGAGCGTGTGTAGTGCAATTTCTAGAGATTTTGCACTTTATTTAACAAGCTTTGTATTATTTAATTGGATCATCTCAATTTCTTCGACTAGCACAACGATTGTGCAATTTTTGTAAATACCTGAAATGAAAATAAACAAATTATATTTTGTATAAATAACACATTTCCTATATGATGAACAAGATTGAAGAAAATTACGATTAAAGATGTTTATTTTATTACACAATTTATTTCAAATGTAAGCGCATTCAATAAAACAATCATTTTAATAAAAAAGTAATATAAAAAATTTTTAATAACGCTTAGTTATGGTATTTTATTTACACTTGGCGTTTTTAAAGATTTTTCTAACAAATCTTTATTTCTAATGACGTCAAAATGACCCTGTCTTAACATATTCTCTTCCCAAGCTAGCATTTCTGAACGATATTGTTGTAACTCTGATTCCGATTCTTCTTTATATTTTTTTTTATCTTGTTCTGGCATAAGATCCCACTTTTTGCTCACATCACTCAACCATTCCTATGTCAAAAATCAGTAAGCTTAAAATTATGTTTCATACTCAATAATCTCTTAGTTGCAAAAATTGATAAAATGTTAAAACTTACAGTATATTTCATGGATGGATCCCTCTTGGCTTTTTGTTCCATCATATACTTGATAAAAGCTGAAGATGGTCTTTTTGGTTTACCCAAACTGACTTTTTTCTAAGATAATTGAGAAATTATACAAAAAATTACTTATCAAAGTAGGAAAAAAATTAATTTCTGACAAAAAACTTACTTTGTTTAATTGAGACAGTTGTTTTGAACGTTTTACTTTCTGTTTGGTTTCTTCAATGAGGCTTTTCTGCTCTGGTGTAATGGTTTGATCGTATTTTTCACGTTCAATCAAATAAGACTCCATTTCAGTAAGGTACTCCTTTTGTAGCATTTTTTTTCTTTCAGGATCAAATGTTTGCCACTTTTCTGCAATCCTCTTCATAGTGTCATTTGCCGAAATTCCTGGCTCTTCGCTATAGATCTTCGACCTGATAGTCTGGCCAAATTTGATGTAAGGAGTCATGGGTCTTTTTGGTGGCTTGGGAATGCCTAACTTCTCAAGAGCCTTGATCGATATCAATGCTTTCTGTTCCTCACAGCTGCTTAAGGCATTTCTATATTAATAAATAAAAGAACCATTCACAAGTAGAGCAGAATGTCAACGGAAAATTAATTGCTAATAATATATATGTTTGCAACAACTACCTTGAGCACAATACATTGCGGCAATTTGTCAGGTTGTTGAAGGCAAATAATCGAAAAACTGACATTGTATACTCTCAAATAATTGTGGCAAAAATTTGAATGTTTTAGAAAATTAGGATCACTTTTATATATGTTTACAGTTGGTTACAAGACTCGGCATAATAATACAAAGCGTGGAAAACCCGTGTATAAGTGCACTGTTTTGCTCGGCATGCGGGCGAATCGGGTTGGCTCATTTGGCTGTTACTTCGTATATTTACTGCTATAGTATAGTCCAGTAAAGTGAGGATAATAATATACTGTACAGTTAACGCCACAAATACGCAATTCATTGACTATATATACACAGTTTAAGATTCAATTCTTCAGTTAATAGTTTACATACTTAAAACTTTGTAATAAGTACATAAGTATACTTACACGTATGAGTACGACAAGTACGTGTCCAGAGTCCATATACGACCACTCTGCAGTATAATAGAACAGAGAGTAACTACTTATCTCTGTTGCAAGTAGTAATAACAAAACTTGTATCCACTTCAGTATTTTATCAAGTTTGTTTTATTGCTAACATTGGTGAAGTAGAAAAAGGAATCAACTAAAAATACAATCCTTGATGCCTGAAGCATGGTAACTGAATAATTACATTGTTACTTACTTATACTTATGAAAATTCTCAATCATGGGAGTGATAAATGTTTATTTTTTTTACAGCACGGAAGAGTCAAAGTACGTACAACAGCTGAGCAAGAGAAAATCAGAGAATTAGAGAAACAGAAGAAAGCAGCTGAATTTAGAAAAGGAGTTGATTTCGTATTTCAAAAGGTTTGTTGTTCAATTTTTAAATAATGAGTATAATTACGACTAATGTTCACAATATCTTATCATGTACGTTTAGCGAAAAAACCAAGAATGGGATGATGAAATTTTCTTACTAACGGAAAAATTGCTAGTCAGGTATCCTGATGTTTATACTTTGTGGAATGTAAGAAGAGAAGGTTTTTTGAATAACAAATGGTGACGGCTTATATTTACTATAATAATTAATTGTATTATTTACCATTTATTAAACTATAAATATTATTAAAGGTCTGATGAAGATCGTGTTGAAAGATTAGAAAAGGAATTAATACTTACAGAATCAAGTTTGAGAGAAAATCCAAAGTCATACTGTGTGTGGCATCAACGAACTTGGATCATTGAACAGTTACCAAACCCTAACTATAAAAGGGAATTAGAATTATGCAAAAAATGTCTTAATCTAGATGAACGAAACTGTAAGTTTTATAATACAATTCTTGAAATGAAATTATAAAATTAACAAATATTTCGACATTCCAGTTCATTGTTGGGATTATAGATTGTTTATAGTTAAAAAAGCAAATATATCTGATCAAGAAGAATTAGAGTTTACAAAGACTAAAATATTAAATAACTTTTCTAATTACTCATCCTGGCACTACAGGAGTAGGTTGTTAAGAAAGTTGTATCCAAGTACTGTTCATGATTTACCAATCAGAGCTGACAAGCATGACGAAGGTTATTTACTTTTCAATATTACGATGCACTTATTTATTTTAGCAGTTATCCTGTATTTGTTTATTTTTGTTTTGCAGAACTTGACTTAGTAATGAACGCTACTTTTACGGATCCAAATGATTCCAGTGCATGGTTTTATCAGCGATGGTTGTTGGATTACTGGAAATCACCAGTAAAGTTATGGCGAGTAGTAATAACTGATGTTACGATAACAGCTGCATTCCATAAAGAAGTGTCTTTAGATTTTGAACTACTTGTAAATGGTAACAAAATTGAGTGTGATTGGAAACCTGCCAATGGGAAAAAATTTTGCACGGTGTGGTACGCTGAACTTGAAAATTGTCTGTGTGATGAAAGCAGTGAGGTACTTTTTAAATTTGAGGGAAGTATATACAGTTTAAAAATATTGAATTCATTCAAAGAATGGATTTACCAAAGTGAAAAATTAAGTGGGAATCAAAACGATTCCAAGTTAAAAGAACAACTAGAAAATTACAAAGTGCTCTTGCAAATGGAGCCCTCCAATAAATGGGCCAAGTTAACCAGTGCACACTTGATGCTGAACATCAATCCTATTGATGCGAATTCAGATATCATAAAAGAATTGAGCGATTTAATAACTGTCGATCCTCTTAGAGAAAATTATTACAAGGATATGAGTAAGTGTCTCAGTATAACTATTAAGTCATGAAGTGAATATTCCAACAGATAACTAACTTAAATATCAATTTATTTTTGTAGGAAGTAAATGCATTCTTGAATACTGCTTGCATGCTGTTATAAACGATAACAATAAAAATAAAGTCATTCGTAATGTAGATTTGTCGAATCTAAAATTGACATCACTGTCTAGTCAAGAGCCTTATTTGGCATTTCTTCATGAAGTAAACCTTAGAAATAATAACTTGGAGAACAAAATATTTCAATTGTACACTTTGCAGCAATGCAGAAAACTAGATTTATCAAACAATGCAGTGTCTTCTCTTAAAAAATTTCCAAAAATGAAAAACTTGAGGATTTTATTGTTATCAAATAATCATATATCAGAATCTCAGGAGATTCTTGATTTAGTGGGAGCACATAATTTAGAAAAATTAAACGTTAAAGGAAATCCGATTGTTGACATAGATTCACTAGTTAGCGAGATAAAAAAACTGTCTCAAACTATAGAGGTGCTGGTTTAACATTTATTAACAGATACAATTTTATATACAAATATTCTTTATAAAGTATAAATATGATAAACTTGTTACTTGAATTTTTGCTAACTTAAAAACACTGTAAAATGTTGTCAGTTGACTTTAATAAATCTATTGTAGCAATTAAACTTATACACTTTTAATAACACTGTCAAATACCAATAAGCATACAAGTTTTTTGGAAGTCAATTTTATTTTTGGTGATATATTTTTTTTCCGCTCAGAATCAGCGCCATCTAGCGCATTAGCGCTGATTTTCGGAAAATCATTTTCCATAGATTTTTAATTTTTGAGCGGAAAAAAATATGAAAATATCCTATTGTAAAATATTATAAGATCTCATCTTTTTCTATGATACTAATAACTAATACCAACCATCAACGAGAACCAACTAATGGTCAATTATTGGTGGACTTAACCCGGGTCATTCGATCGTCCATGAACATGTCTATTATAGTTGCCTATTAAATATTATATACCTAATATACCTATCCAAGTTCCTAAACATATTTTACATTTGGCATTTTGACTTTTGACGTTCTGGTGACGGCAACGTTGCCATTTATACGGCGTATCTGATTTTCGGAACGCATCAACGCACCCATATATCATCAGCTACTTATACTTAAAAATTCTGTTAAAATAACATCTTAAGTTGTATATATATAAGTACGTATTGTTGTTGAACGCAGGTGGGTGGTGGTCTAGTGAGTGTATTATAATATAGGTAGAGTAAAAAAGGAGAGGGAAAAAACATCAAAAGGAAAGTGTACCGTGCAAGACTGATCATCAAAAAAAGTGGGAGCTATCTCATCTCTGTCGATCTTCTCGTTGTGTGTTTACCTAGTGCTATTAGAGTGCGTATTATTTTCTTATTTCGCAACTTCACCAGTCGCCAGGCCATCTTGTGCGAGTGAAAGAAAGAGAAAGATATACCTGTGTCGTACAATCTGTGATGCTTTTACATCAGTGAAGTGAAACCAGTGAACGAGTGAACGTCAACAAGAATCGTCGACGACAGCAGAAAGCACACGCACATGTGTACCTATAGCTGTAGCTGCTGTTATAGATTGTAGGACTTGTGGCTCTTATAATGGAAATGGAATAGAAACCTATACATTATACATTATACACTCTAAGCTCATCGTCACCTGAACGTCGTCACTATACATACTTGAGCATATTAAGCCAAACTAGACACAGCTGCTGGATAAGACCAGCAGCAACGTTACAGAGAGTCAAGTATCAGAAGTAAGCAACAACAGCAGCTTCGATAAGGAAGAGGATACAAGATGAACCGGGGAGACGGCCTGGTGCAGCGGCGTCGAGGCACGGCCAACAGCAGTGCCAGTGGGACAAACGGCGCCGGCGCCCAGGACCCAGCCAACGGGGAACACGCGGAGGGCCAATCACCCGATTCCGACGGTCTTTCCAGCAAGCACTCCCACCCAGAGTCTCCTTATGACGAGTTTGACAACGACAAGGAGACCAAGCTCACTCTCATGGAGGAGGTCCTGCTCCTTGGACTCAAGGATAAGGAAGTACGTAGTGAACTAATCCACCGTTAGGTATATGGTGTTATTATCTCTACTGCACTCTCCGACTTCCTCTTTTGACCTCGAAAGCCTTGGAGAGTAATTAGCTCTCGCGCGGCTGTGTTATCTTTCTGATGGGCTGGGTGGCACTTCCTCTGATTATTGCTGCGTGTTTGTTGTGGGTTGATTGTACTCCTTCACATGTGTCATTTAACTTCCATAGTTATTCCCATGTTATTCTATGGCAGAATGTTTCGTAGATAAGAAGATGATGTGTGGGATTCTTGTAACTTTTCCCCTTCTACCTTTCATCATTAGACGATGTTATAAGTTTACATGTGATGAAAATTAATAGTATTACCAATTAAAGTCTGATCATTTATCATGGATGATTATTTAATACGAGTTGAAATGAATTTTATGTTAATCCAATAAGGAGCACTCATATCAAATAACTTAAATGTTACTACAATATTATATCATCAATAGTTTGCTATAAAACTTAACACAAAAAATACATCAATCAAATTATAGCTTCTTCAAATTATGAGTTTATCGATTTAGACTTTTTATAATAATTTTCTATACATTTGATGTACTGCTTTGATTTATGAATGATAATCGTTATAATCTTACCTAATCAAACAAGTTTTATTTTTAACAATTTATTTGATAGTAAAGTCTTACTCATGACTTGACATCAAAATATTCCTGCTGCAATATTTTTTTTATTATTTGAGCTCAATATTTCGTGTGTATAAATGTAACAGCCACTCATAAACTTACCTGATTGTATGATTTATACAGAGTAACTATTATTATAATAGGTGTAACAATTGTTAATCATGAAAATTTGTTTCCAAATATCTTGTGCAGCGATAATGTTTAGATATAGAAATAAAACAACTTGTTTTACTTCATTGCATTCCTACAGGTCGAGTCGTATAATATATACATACATATAAGGTTCTAGTCTTATGAAAAATCTTCACCTTTTTTAGGGTTACACTTCTTTTTGGAACGACTGTATAAGCTCTGGGCTGCGAGGATGCATTTTAGCTGAACTTGGCCTGAGAGGTCGAGTTGAGCTTGAAAAAGCTGGAATGAGAAAAAGAGGGCTACTAACAAGAAAATTAATATTAAAGAGCTGCGCTCCTACTGGTGATGTCTTGTTAGATGAGGCATTGAAACATCTCAAAGAAACAGATCCTCCAGAATCAGTGCAAAGTTGGGTAGAATACTTGAGTGGTGAGCATTATTGTATTTATATGCCTTTAACAGGTAGTAAACAAATTATTTTATTGATTTGTATTGAACTTTTAATTGAAGGGGAAACATGGAATCCATTAAAACTACGATACCAATTAAAAAATGTCAGGGAAAGACTCGCCAAAAATCTCGTGGAAAAAGGAGTTTTGACAACGGAAAAACAAAACTTTCTTCTCTTTGACATGACGACTCATCCACTAACAGATAATCTTACTAAAACTCGACTCGTGAGGAAGGTAAGAAATTAATGTCTTATGTATGATTCAATGGGTTCATTATCATATTAGAATTTTTTTTAACACAAGATGATCATCCAACATCACATGAAGTAAAAGCTTTTCATTGACTAAGCTAATCAGTTTTCATATCATCTACATTACATTGTATAGATCCGTTTTAATTAGTTAAATTTTGAGTACTCTTATAATTAAATTCGGTTCTATCTTGATCGGATTAGATTAGAACTTGATGATAATCGCAGCATTTACTTTGTATCTATGTTACACAATTAATCCAACAAAATGCATTCAAGGTGTCTAGATTGAAAATCTATTTCTCTGACATATGTTTAAAACTATTGAATATTTTTATGTAAATGATTTGTATAAGCAATACGCAAATTTCATTTATATTATTAGTTTCAATGTAAATACATCGGAATTGTAACTATAAAAATCTTAGTATATTGCAGAAAATTCTTGTCTATAGGAAGCGTTATCAAACTAGTATCGTTAACGAGAATTCATGTTATCATTGATGTCGCGATAAGTGTGACTCATTGCCGTATTACTGCTATCATGTGAAGTTTACATTTCTGAATTAACGTTTTCAAAAGTTCTTTTACCTCTTTACGCTTCAGCAAACAAAACGACAATTTGAAAGAATGAACTATTACATGAAAAATCCTTTCTTCATCAGTATCATTTATATTTCAAATAAGTCTGGAGATAAATGTATAGGTTTATTAAAATTATAAGTTTTATAAAGTAACACTTGTACATCAAACAAGTTTTATATAATAAAAAATTCTTAGCAATCAAAAAAAATTTACCAACAATCAAATATGAGTTGGGATACTCACTATCCAACATTGCTTTTTCAGATAAAAATAATCGATGTCATAAATAGCGTAATTTTTAACCCATCAAACTAACAGTATGTTCTTCAATACTTTAATCATACTGTCATTAACTTCAGATCCAGGACGCTGTGCTCGCTGGCTGGAAAAACGTGGCAAGTCGCATGAACCCACGCACCCTTGCCCTGATAATTCTCGCGCACGCCGCCGACGTATTAGAAAACGCGTTTGCGCCTTTGTCTGACGACGACTACGAATTGGCGATGCGACGAGTAAGGTCGCTCCTTGATCTTGACTACGAGGCTGAAGCTGTGAAGTCTGATGCCAACCCCGTCCTGTGGGCTGTGTTTGCGGCTTTTGTCAAGTAACGACGACTACTTGTGCTGCCTCTGCATTAAAAACGAATTTTGAAAACCAACAAGCAACCCCCCACACACACAATCCAGAATAGAAGACAAAGAAAGGTCGCCAAGCCACAAGGGACGGACTTTCGTGCTTCTTCTTTTTTCTATATTAGGAATTTATCAAAGTTTTTGTAATGTTTTAACAAATGTAGAGACTATTTAAATGCAGACAGTCTTCGTTTTTTGAAGTTCTGTCGTAAGCCAGAATGAATGGGAGGGGCGTAGGACGATTGAATACGGCAGGCCTTGCTTTATCTTCTTCTCTTCATTTGCTCGGAGAGAGGGTAGAACATTTGTGTTGTGTGAGAAAACGAGTTCAGGCCGATGCGTTGCTCGTGCCATTTTTAATCTGTGAGTATGATTAGAAAAAAGATACAAAAAAAAAAAAAAGAAAATTCGAGCAAACATTTCTTATTCTCGAGACCAAGCTTCAGCGGAATAACAGTCTGCGTGCGAACCGTTGTTGTGTACAGTCTGCATCCTCGTGTCAAAGTTGCTGAAGATAAGTAAACGTTTCAACTCACTGCAATAGTTTAGAAAGTGAATTTGTGTACACGAGACACCACCAAGATTTTTTGGATTATCTTGCTTGTGTACGCGCGAATGTTTGTAAAGAACATTAGTAAGTCTTGAAGGGTGAATACTATAAAATAAAGAGCATTAAAGCACAAGTTTGAGGAGTATTCAAACGACGCACTTTTTTAAATCGTGTTTTCGATTGAAACTTGATTTCAACGCCTTATTTTTAAATCTTATTTGTTGTTGTTGTAAAAATTTATTGTTATCTGAATTATTTTTTAATTGTCTTACATGCTGTAGAAGGGATCGTGTATTAGATCGAACTTTAAAGTAGATCGAGTACGAGATTGTTAACAAACTGTCTCAAAATAAAGAGAAAATTTAAGGCAAGGTGATCTAGCTCTGAGAACTATTTTAGACTTTTTTTTATGATAGTTGTAACAAAAATGTGTATAATCACAGCGAATTCCGGCTCGATCGTTATTTTTTTTCTTATCTGATATAGGAACGGTTGTAAAAAATTTTTTATAGAGTGGAAAGATACTACATTGTACTCTTATAAATAGTTACTTATCATTATTACTACATTATTGCTACTCTCAAATATTGTATTATTAATTACTGTAATAAACGATAATTAAACTCATAGAGCTGTATTTTTTATCAAAAATTTTTTGTCAATTGTTTAATACAAATTAAATTAAAAAAATTATTTAACCTCTTTCATAGGATATATTGGCTATTATAAACTTGATTGAGGAATGATTGTGATTTGATAGAAGAGTAGATACATATAATCCAACTATACACTCAGCACTTGATGATTCATCAATACCTATAAAATGTCAATACATAACAAAGAAATTTAATTAGATTTTAGAGTCTTTTGAGATAATTTTAAAATAAAAAAGGAATTATTATATACAGTCAAATGACAAAACTTGTCATTTACATATGAATGTTGTTTCACAAACAAATGAAAAAATGACTTTAATACTTTTCATTTTCACCATTATAATCAGTGAAAGCCTGTATAAGTCCAAACTGGCCTTTATACATCCATTTGGAATCATCCATTTTTAATTCCTCTACTTTTCCTGCAGGCAAACCGACGCATATGTCACTCTTTATTGTCCGTAAACAAACCAAATTAGTAGGTTGAAATCCTCTAAGAGCTTGTTTGAAATTTGTCACGTATTTCCAATTAATATCACCCATGAGTTTAGAATAGTTGAGATCACCTTTGATTATAACTAAAATAGATACAGATAATTTATTGTAAAGTGATGGCCTTATGCTTTTCATATCTGCATAATCAAACGGCTCAGTCCAGAAAGATTCTTCCTGCAATGGAAAATTTTTTGTTTTTAAGGAGCGAATAAAAATCTTGAGCTTGCAAAAATTTACCTCTATGGCCCACGAGCCATTTTCCAGACACCCATTGCAAAATGTACCAAATGATTGAATATTTTTGTCGTCTGACTTGGTCATAGTATCAATGAGCCAATGAAAATCGTTTGTCAAAACATCACTAATGAACCACGGATAACATTTAACGTAAAATCTTATTTTACTGGCCAATTTCCTCTTAACAAAAAATGCTGCCAAGCAAATGTCTGTAAATAATTCATAGCCAGAATTATCTAAAACAACGTCGATCACTATTGATTTGTTTTCACATTTAAATTTCTGAAGAATGAGTTTCCAAACTCTTTTACTGTCATCGATTAAAATATTTTTATTCAATGACTCCAATAAGTCTTTTGCACTACCATGAGAAGTTAAACCTCTGGCCAACAGATATAAGTCACTCCTTAAAAAATTATTAGTTTTACAATTCATTTGATAAAAACAAAGGGACGTACGATTTATTCGTATACCTATTGCCCCATAGATTCAGTCTGAGTAAATTAATAAAGTCGCACTCTAGATCTGCGACATCACAGTTTTTACTAAGTAGTAGCATCATATGCTCACACAACAGACTGATATTTTGTAGTGCTTCAAAGTACATCTCATGCTTTAGTAGTGAAAATGGATCATAGTTTTTTAAATGTTTTCTGAAATTTAAGATACCCTAATATTCTAAAAAAGTTTTTATTTAAATTTAAATACTTTGATTATTAATATAAATGCCTAACGTTAGAAAAAATTCCTGTGCTAGTCTTCTGTACAAGTAACTTTCACTAATAAAGAAAATAGCGTTGAACCAAGTTAGTTTTTCATTCTGAACTTTTGACAAATTTTCCAATTGAGTATTCCAAAGTTTTGCATCATCATATTTTCTATGATTGATTGGTTTTAGTGGAACAAGGGGTTTATTTGCTATCAATTCAGTTTTCAAGTTTTTGATACCTTCAACAACCTGCTTGATATCATCAATGACTTCCTAACAAAAATTGTTTAGCAATATAAAATATGTTTTCTGATTGATTTGTATTTCATTTCATTTTTTATCGTACCACACTATGAGCTTTTAAAATTTCGTCTTTATTTTGATTCAATGAGTCTATTATTTGATCAAGTAAAACTGGAATCTTATGTTTAAATATTCTATATGCAAGGCTCCTATAAACATTGAAAAAACAATAGCTCGAATTACATGTGTACACTGGTTGTTACATTGGTTGATTGGTTGCAAAATGAAGTTTAAATTTAAAACAAATTTTAGGTTAAAAACAATTACTTTTTGTATTTTGGACGTAGAAAAGTATCAAAAGGTGTTTCTATATCTTCTACACCGTCAGTCTCTTCACAATCAAGTTCTTGAAAAACTTTTGACATTTTAACAGTTGTTTAATGCTTCAAAGAACATAAAACTCTTTAGTTTGAAAATTTATAAAAGTTTTTCAAAAAGTTTAAGTGCATACTGTGAGAGATAACGCAGTCGTACAGTTTTTATCTACAAGGTTACAGTTTTTGGTGTAAAAAGTGGGATACAATTTAAATAAATACAATTTGTTTGTCCGCACTTTGGCATTTATTAGTTTTCACATTTTATCACAACTTGAAAAATCGTTCTATGTGAAAACTTAATTATTTATACGTATACTTTATGTAAATAAAAAGTATAGCCAACAATAAAAAATAACAGTCTTCTGATTCACTGTATTTCAATGGAAGCTTGTATCAGACCAAATTTTCCAATCTCCATCCAATTCGGGATTTCTTTTTTCAATTCCTCTGCTTTTCCTGCAGGCAATCCTACGCAAACATCAGCTTTTACAGTCCTCAAACTCAATAAATTTGTAGGTCTAAATCCTCTCAGAGCTTCACAAAAGTCTGTTGTGTATTTCCAATTCACATCACCCATAAGTTTTCTATAATTTAGATCACCTTTGAATATAACTAAAACTGCCTCGGATAGCTTGTTATAGAGAGATGGATTTGAGCTTTTCATTTCCGAATAATCAAATGGTTCTGTCCAAAATGACTCTTCCTGAAAATATAATATTTGATATTGAAAACTCGAAAACTTGAAAGACAAACATAATTTCTACTGTTTAATAGCTCAATACCTCAATGGTCCACGATTTATCTTTTAAATACTTATCACAAACTTGACCAAATCTTTGAATATTTTCATCATCTGATGTTTTTATCATTTCAACCAGCCAGTGAAAATCACAAGTTGTAACATCACTAACGAACCATGGATATCGTTTGACATAAAATCTTATTTTATTTGCCAATTTATTTTCCATAAGAAATATCGCTAGACACAAATCAGTAAACAGTTCATAGCCTGCATTATCCAAGACTATATCTACAATTGAGTTGTTGTTAGTTTTGCACTGCACGTTTTTACAGAGAAGTCTCCAAACTTCGTTGCTATTGTCGATAAGAATGTCGCTATCTAAAGATTCTAACAAGTTTAATGGATTATCATTTTGAGAATCAACGTTTCCGGTAGATAATGATAAATCACATCTGAAAAGTTAAATTTTATTGCTATGTGCTGTAGTATTAAATGGCATAATATACAATAGTCATACTTGTTGCCCCACAAATTTAATTTGATCAAATTTATAAGAAATTTCTCCTGCTCTGCTATGTTGTGATCGTTTTTTGTGTCAATTAGATTCAGAACGTATTTTGATAAATGACTGAAACTTCCTTTTGCCTTGAAAAAACTTTCTTCCTTCTGAATGGAAAAAGGATCATACGCTTTCAAGTGTTCTCTAGAATAAATATGAAGGTGACATGGATTAGTTCTACTAATAATGTATGAATATTGCATCAAGCCTCAATGACTTACGTAAGGAAAAACTCTTGAGCTATCCTCCGGTACATGTAACACTCACAAATAAGCCATATAGTATTGAACCACAATTGCGTTTCTTGTCGTTCTTCCGTGAGTTTTTCAATTTTATCATTCCATATTTGTGCATCGTCATTATCTCTGTTTGACATAACGATCAGGGGGAGAATCGCTTTGTTCGTCACCAATTCATTTTTCAATTTACTAATACCTCCGACAACTTGTTTTATTTCTTCTACAGCTTGCTGCGAACATTACTTGACATTTGTTGATTCAAACTCAATAAGTGAAATTTAACACTTTCAACTCACCGCTCCATGGGTTTTAAAAATTTCGTCTTTGTTCCTACTTAATGTGTCTATAACTTTGGTTAATATTACTGGAAGTCGATCTTTAATCGTTGCGTATGCAAAACTCCTAAAGAAACGATTTTAATTAATACAATTTCATGGATCCAAAGTGCTCGTCCCATTAAAATCACTGCATATTTACTTTTTGTATTTTCCTCTCAAGTAAGTGTCAAAGGGAGGCTCGATGTCCTCCAGATCACTTATATCCGCGGAATCTGATCTCTGCGTTATTTTTGCCATCTTTGCAGAATCGAAATTACTAACGAAGAAAAAAAAGGTGTGTATGTCAAAACAACACGAAGGTCACCTCTGTATAGGAAAACACAACCTGTTTATAAAAACTCTTTCACCGACTCATCGCTCCGTAAAAGATGCACTGAGAATATCAGTAGAATTTTTCCCTTTGCTCTAAAAATTAAGTAACGCGATAAGCGTTTTTTTTTTTTTTGGTGACAATATACACTTTTACGATTTAAATTTATATAAAAAAAAAGCGCATCCCTAAAAAATTGTTGTCTGCTGCAGCGCTTGACTGCAGCTGTGCAGCATCGTCTGCTTGCCAAGCTGCACCAAGTGTTGACACACCTATATATATATATGTATGTATATACGTATATAACGGGGTGGATCGAGCGAAAGGAGGGCCCGTTCCATAAGGTTGAGTGGTACATAGTATCGCTTCAAATGCTCGAAAATGTTCTAAAACATTCAAATACAAATCTGTAGGTTCCGAAAACATACAATTCTTTACGTACATACAAAAGAATGTAGAATTTCTTTTGTCTTAGGGAAATGAAGTCTTTGTTTTATAAATTTTTTTCTTATTATTTATGTAGTACTTACCTTATAGTAGGTATAATTATTAGCTAAAAAAGTTAAAAAGAAGAATCATTTGTTGAAAAATAGAATTATTTATTTTTCAAAATAACTTAATAAATTAGGCTTTCACAAAATGATTTATATTAATAACTAACGATAAGTATAATTCGAATCAACATTCAACAGTAACTAAGTCCCGATTTGAGACTGAAAATAAAATATGATAAATGTTATAATTAGTTGTCATTAGATTATATTTTTTTTTTTAATTTTCGTTCTGAATGACATCTCAAAAAGTAAAAAAAAAAAAAAAATAAATAAACAAAAACTGACATAAATTATTACTAAATGTAACTAATACCCTACAATAATTATTAGTTGTTATTAATTACTTTGAAATTTCCGAGTCATGGGTCAATGGTAAATATTTTAGGTCTCAAATCTAGATTTTATTAATTGCTATTATTTATAAGTTTTGATTTGTAACTTTTTTTCAAAAATAAATGAGTACTCGAAAAAAACAGCCGTCTTATGATGTAAGTACTCGTTAGTTAAAGAAATAAATCTTAATCGGAAACAGAAGGGTACATTAATTTTTATTCAACTATGCTCGTAAATAAAAAAAATATCCAAACATGCAACAATATTTGAAAAGTAACTCTATTCCATGTAGATTTGTCATAAATGTGTAAGAAATGGTTCAAAAAATAAACATTCTCTTGTTAACGTAAATATATACATATAAATAAATTAAATAAAAATGCTAACAGCAACAATTTAAATGTTAGAACGCGCTTGCAAATGCAATAGAGAAAAAAAAAGAAATTCTAAGTGACGAAATATCGGATCACCAGGTCGTGCCCAGGTTGACCAAATCCTCGGTCCTGAGATAAGCAAGAATCTTATTGACAACGAGCTCCGGCATAACAATGGGCCTGACGAGGAGAGCCAAATTCACCGCCGACGGCTCGAGCATCCTCCTCCTGTGATCGGCCTTGTAAAACCTGTCGCGCAAAACGCGATAGTAAATCGGAAAGTCGAGCTCGCACACGCCCGACTCGAACACCCTCGACAAATTCTCATTCCTCGCGTAACCCACGAGCCCGGTGTTTATGTCCCGCGTGAGCACCCCGTGCATCGATATGTTGTCGCACACCTTGGCCTCCCTCATCCTCCCCATCTCCGTTTGGCAGCGCCTGTAAAACACCGTCAGCTTCTCGTTGCCGCTCATCACCCGAAAGTTCTCCTCGCACACCTGGCCCAGCATAGCTATGTGCTTAATCAGGAGCTCGAAGATGTTGTCGTCGCAGCCAGCTTGGGAGTTTATCGGGTAGAAGCCGTTCCAAGGGTTGTATATGCTCCTCATGTGGGCCACCTCGAAGGCCAGGGACAGAGGCGTCCTGCCGTTCTCGTCGGTCGCGTTGACATCCGCCTCGTACTCGAGCAGCACCTTCACCATGTTCTCATCCTCGACGACCACGGCCACGTGAAGCGCGGTCAGACCCTCGTCGGTCCTGGCCCCGATCTCGGCTCCTCTGTCCAACAACAGCTTCACGATGCTCCTGTTGCTGTGCCGGATGGCAAAGTGTAGGCAGCTCTTCCCGTCAAAGTCCGTCGAGTTGACCCGAGCCCCGTGATCCAGGAACAGCCTCACGAGCCTTTCGTTGCCGTCGACTATGGCGCAGTGGAAGGCAGTTTCCCCCGAGTTTGCGCGGTCGTTGACCTCGGCCCCGTTGTTCAAGAGCAACTTCACTATCTTGTCCATCGTCGCTTCGTCCAGGTAATTCAGTTCGGCTGCCAAGTGAAGCGGCGTTTTCCCGTCCATGTCCCTTGCGTTTGCCTTGGCGCCGTGGTTCAACAGCAATCTCGCCATCCTTTCGGCCTTTTGCTTCACAGCTTCGTGCAGGGCCGTTGTCCCGCATATCGTTCGCTCGTTCACTTTGGCTTGATTTTTCAACAACAACGCGGCTGCATCGACGTTTTTGTGCTCCACCGATATGTACAAGGAAGTCTTTCCGTCTCTTCTTTTGGCGTTGACGTTTGCCCCGTATTGCAGGTACAACTTGATCAGTTCCTTCTTGTTACTCGTCACTGCCCAGTGAAGGGCCGTTTCTCCCGCGTTCGTGCACTCGTTCAACAAAGACTGAAAGACAAACAGATTTTTTTTTCATTCAAAGTGCATCCTCTGGACCACTTGCATGTACAATTTTCTCAAAGAAACGTGGAAAGTAACCGGACAGTCATTACTGTTTAACTTGACAGATGTTATTTGGAAAATGTTGAATCAACGTAAAACATTTTCGTACTTTTTTCTCTTTACTAATTTTCAAAAACATCATGGACTTTTGATCAACGTGTATCTATAAACAACACATCAAGTTCTCACTGTAAAGAGTATACATCCCACGTCTCACCACATTGTTCCTCTCAATCAAATTTTACTTTATGTGGAACTGATGGCAGGTTTCTTTATCAGCCTGACTTTTTCAAACAATTTTGTCATTACCTTGGGATCAGATGATTTGTCCAAAAGTAACTTTGCTATTCTTGACATTTTTCTTCTATCCTGACATCCTGGACTAGCAGTACAATGCAAGGGAGTCTTGCCAAAAATATCTTTTATGTCTACTTTCGCCCCATAATCCAAGAGCAATTGAACATTTTCCTCATTTTCAAGCTCAATAGCTCTGTAAAGCAGATTAGTCATGTTCACCATAGTACTATTCATCTTAACATCGACTTGTAAAAACAATTTAACGAATCCTTTGTCCATTGGAGCTGTTGGTGCACAATCAAGCCATTGATTAATTTCCTCATTGGCTACATTATAATCTTCAATCTGAAGAAACTGAGTAGTGTAATTTTCATCGTTCATCATTGATACGCAACATTGACGATTCACATCAACGTTGTCATCATAAAAATCAATTTCAGTCATTTTGTTTTGCTTGACAAAGAGTCATGTGTGCTGAAAAAGTTAGTGATTCTTAATTTTAAAGTAAAAGCAAGTAAATGTAAAAAATTATTTAATTTTCTGCATCAAGTATGCGAATGATAGAGTATTCGTCTTTTTATTTTAAATTTTCATAGTCATCCATAAACTTACTGAACGTGATTCAGGGAAAGAGTTTAGTACGCCGTAAAAACGCTGCTGTATCCTCGAGAAACTCGATGACCAACGAATAAAGTACACATTATGAAAAATGTGTTTATTGAAATTCCCAAGTCTTTCTTTTTTCAGGAGCATATGTAGATGGGTACTGCGAGCAAATTGTTTAATTGTTCTCTTATCTTGAATTGCGACGAGGAATCCGATAAATGTAACAAAAACACTTTGACAGACAGAGATATCTTTTTGGAAGCAGGGCGATCCACAGGTAGTGCTAGGATAATATAATACGATAAGTTTAAACGCCAAAGCCCGTAAGTTAGATAAAGACAGATAATTTTGTACGGTCACTCGTGCTGTTGGATTCCACTCTGATGGTCGCACGTAAGCAAACCGATCTCGTGCACTTAAAACTATTTGAGATCGAAAAATCTTTGATATCTCGGCTTCTGTGGGTCGAAGAACGACGTTTTTTCCACAAACTGAAATAACTGGTGCATGAAAATATATTACGGTCTGTGCACTTTATGTTACATTCTGAGGGCCTTTACCCACAACCATCACCTAATAGGCCTCTTTCAATGGTTTACTTTCAGTTATAATTTTTTGAAGCGTTTTTTTGCAGTTTTCATTTTACCTTGCCTCAGTTGCAAAAGAAATCTCAAGAGGAGAAAAACAAGCGCTCGTTGGATACTGTTAGGCCAAAATTTTCGAGCAACAAATGAATTTTAAAAAAGTCCCGTTTAATGAGCAATTGTATCTATGCGAAATAGGTGGTAAAATATTGTTTTTCTACCATGGACGTTGTTTTTTTTTTTAACTTGAGACATTTGTTGCAGCCTTGGTAGGAAAAACAGCGTTGGCTATTGGTGCCAATCCATACGGGACATATAGGCCCTGGAGAAGATAGGCACCACGTAAAAAATCTATTATTAGCTCGGGGTTGCGGTTTTCGCCTTAGAACATACTTTGATATGATAAAATGACAATTTTCAGAATAAATTTTTCATTCAAACGCACACATTATATTCTTATCTTCACATTTATTGTTATAATAATAAAGAAAAATAGTGACAATGATACATTAAATGGTATAACAGTAAAGATGGTACATATAGAGGAAAAAATAGTGTTTCATATTATATAGACGATAATATGAAAAACGTTGAGTGTACAATAGCACAAACAATATATTCAATGCCTCACTATCCGATCACTGGAATTTTTTTTATAGCGCTTGAAATAGTGTTTGTTATTTTTTCCTTGAATTTGTCTTTGACATTCGAAATCGTTGAGATAGTTCTACCAGGGATACTTGTTATGTACTTGAATATGTCGCTCAGCACGCTGGAGTTGCAGTCGCTGTAAAGAAAGTCATCAAAACACAATTTTTGGTACACTTCGATGAGTTCGTTTATTGGACGATCGCCTAGAGTAAGAGTCGTGTCGTCATTGATGTCCAAGTGGGCTCCCTCGCTACCAGAGTCAGGCCATGTGATCCCCAAGAACATGTCTCTCTCACCAATTGGCGTGGGATTGCTATTTTTTTGAAATTATGTCCGTTATAATAATGGCCCACAGAGAAGTTTGACTTATAAACATCTGCGAAACCACTTACCCGTATTTGGCAAAGTTCGTGAACAATTTCACAAGTTTTTCCCGCATGATTGTGATCTTCGGGTTATTGAGTTCAATTTCCACATTAAGTTTGTAGAAAATGTGGTTCAATATATCTTCATATGCGATTTCTGAAATAAAATTAACAGTAGGATTTCAAATAACCAATTTATGAATTTATACTTAAACGAGATACGTTTATGTACGTTTACCATTCCAATTCTTCCAGTCTCCAGATTTGTCGCTGTATTGTGACGATTTGAACAGATAACGATAATAGTAAATCGGCGCGTCATTGTGTTCGTTGAGCAACTTTTGCTTCATGTCGATTCCCGTTACGAAATAAATGTCCGACAATTCCTGATGAAACAAATTTTATATTCATGTCTCATTCAACGATCACAATTTTATTAAATTTTCTCTTTTGACCCACACACCTCAATCAATTTGTTGAAAGCCATTTTTTCCAATCCTATGGTTTTTTCAAGAGGTGCGGTTATTACCTTCGGGACGAACGAAATAGAATTCAGCATGTCATTGTTGTTTATCGATTTCACAGCCTCTTTGTGGTACTGCATCAAATCGTCCGACGCTGTGGTAAACAATAAATTTTATTTATTGATATATATGGCACCGTTAATCATTGATTAATTTACTTACATTGAACCAGAAGTAATATGTCATTGGGCGTGAAACCCATCATGTGGGGGCCTTTGTTGTAGTGCCCTTCGTGGTACAGTTTTGGCGCACACTCTGTTATAAACTTTGGTTCGTCCACAGCAACATCGGCTTTCTCCAACGTCGGTCTGAAGGGAATCTACGTACCGAATATTCGATCATATTTTTCGAAAAGAAACGGTTATAAGAATTAAGGACAAAAAAATATTACCAGTGGTAATTTACTGGCTTTTTTGACAATTTCGTAAGCAGCAACGTTCTTCAAAAACCCTATCAATTCCTCCTCGTCGTCTGCTTCGATGCCAAGCAGTTTACCCAGTAAGAAAGCTTGCGTGCGGGCCTCGGCGCGATTTTGGAAACCCCAGTATTTGCAAAGAGGAGATGCGCTCAATGAAATTGTTTGCTGGAACAGTCCAGTGGACATGTTCGATATCTTGTGGAGATCGACCGCCACTCCTCCCGCTTGTTGGCCCATGAGCGTTACTTTGTTCGGGTCACCTCCAAAGTGATGGATGTTCTTCTGGACCCATTTTAAAGCCAAGTTTTGATCTTTAAGGCCATTGTTTCCGGAAACGCTTGGGTGATTGATGTTCATGAAGCCTGACAAAAAGCAAAGTGTTGATTGTTAATGAGAATTTGTTTTTTTTTTTTTTTTTTTTTTTTTCAACCAATACCATACCTAATGCTCCCAGCCGGTATTGTATGGTAACGACAACGACATCTGCTTCGATGAGGAAATCTGGCCCGTAAAGGGCTTTGCTTGCGTTACCTCGGGCGAAAACTCCACCATGTATCCAAACTATGACCGGTTTCAAGCTCGTCTCAAAAGCTTGATTCTACAAAATAATTATTATTTGAAACACAGGTATATGCAAATACGTGTCAGCGAATATGAATATGTTACAGGTGTGTAAACGTTGAGGTAGAGGCAGTCCTCGGAACCGGAGATGTTGTTCTCGTTTGACTGGATGCATTGGTCTTTGTCCGAAAATGCGTACAATATTTTTCTCCACGGTTGTTTTGGTTGAGGAGCCTGGAAAATTTTTATTCATCGTCTTTCGTACTTATCAAAAAATATGGAAAAAAATGATGGGCCACATGAATTTGTTATACCTGAAATCTCAAGTCATCGACTGGAGGTTCAGCGTATGGGATTCCTCTGAACGATAGATATGGTACTGATTTTATGACAGTGTATGATGACTCTCCGAAGATGAGGCCATCCTCCGTGTGTACCAGACGAGATTTGGCATTGACATTAATAGTAAATACAAAAAGTGAAACTAAGATGTATGAAAGTATCATGATGGTTATCTATTTTTTACACTTATTTATCGGAATTATAATAGAAATTTCATTCGAAAACGAAGTTTCTCGACTCGATTAGTTTTTATGAATTTTTCAAGCAACTGTCGGCTTGCGACCAATTATATTAACTGTTCACCGTAACACTGGTGATTTTATTCTCATTCGAGTATTAAATATCAACTTTCTTTTATTTGAACATGCTCCCAAATTTATCAATGTTGATTATGCATTATCTCCTGTTTTCATTAATTCACTTACAAGTTTTTGTGTTGTTTTTCAAAGGTCACAGAATTTTACCAATAAGAGATTACATAGCGAATCAAATTGAAACTGGAAATTTGATTCTTTTTAAAATTACTTTACGAAATACATAGTTCTTGTAGTAACGTATTATAAGACCTGTAGATCAATAATAGGAAAAATCCTGTTAAAGACTATATCGTTCGTTTGAGAGCATTTGTAAAAAAAGTGACATTAAAGTACTTAAACTTGTGTAAAAATGGATATTGTCAACGATAATACTTGCAATACTCAGTACGTAAAAGTTTTCGATATTTTTATTATCACATTATCACACTACATTGCATAAACATCCAATATTTTTCTCTCCATCAAAACTGTTATAAAGTATCAAATTTTTTGTCAGCTTTGCCAATTTCAACCTGTTAAGTACAGCTACAGTTTTTCTCATGGATAATTATGTTGGTGTCATTTTTGGCACCAGTTATCAATTGGATAAAGATCAATTTAATAGGTTAAGTGAATTTTATCCCCGCCTGAATCTAGCCTTATTATTACTCCATTTAATCGTTAGCGTTGGGCACTGGGTAAGGTCAGATTTTTTCAAAACTTTATTTCTTAAATTAATTTTTTTTATACGTACATTGATTTACAAACCTAAAGGGCTTCGCGCGTCGTACCAATAGCTGATGGTACATTTGCAAATCGGTTACTGCCTACCAATATCATACCTGGCCATATCCATCGTACCAACTAATCACAATCGTTTTTTTAGATTTACTTAAAGCAGTTTCGTATTTAAAGGTGTAAATATGTAATGAATGGATTGAATGCAGCTAAATATTATTACCGGTATCCGTCAAAAATTCGTCTACATTCAATTAAATCTATCTGTACTACAAAGTCCTATAACCTTCAAAGTCATATACATATTAGTGGAATATTTGAGGCAGTTTATTTTTCTGTCCTACGTAATTATCAAAATATAATTAAAAAATTTTATAATAGGTGAATATGAAAAGCTATTAATTATAATTGGGTTTCATTGTTGTGTATCTTCATTCTTTTGGAATTTTGAGCTAAATTATGGTTCTTCGATTGTTTTAGTAAACGAGAATAACAGATTTGATTAAAAATTATCAAAAATGTATTCAAATCCCTTTACTTACAAATCTGCTCGTTTTGTTAACTAAAAAAAAAAACTTAATCATGTTGTTGAAGAATTATCTTTAGCCGACCGGCGAAATTCATTTTGGCAATCATCTCGAACTTTAGCTTAAGACCTCTGATTAAGTTGGAGGAAAGTTCCAAATTATTTACTGTTTACCGCTACCCTGGGCCATGTTGTTTAATTATCGCTAACTGATTTACATTAAATGATTGCTCATACTATTTATACCCATGCCTTATGTCTATTGGTCCGGATAAGGACTTGGTTTACAAATATTAAACATTTCTCCATCCACTTTCATACCGCACTATGGGACAACACTTTATACACATTAACAAAATCATTTCCAATGACTTTATGCACAATATTTTTTCTGTTCACACATGTACAATTAGCAAACTTTTACATTCCTTCCTGCATCTTGTAAATAACTTGGCATGGATTGTCAGAGCCCAATGCCTTCAATCATTTCGATATGGTGTCAGTTAGACAATGGGTATGTATTAAAATATTTATTATATCAAGTTTCCTCAAGTCTAGATGATTAAAAAAAAAAATATTTTGTACAGAAACGAATCCTCCAATCAAGAGAGTAAAAAATACTGCGAAAAAAATTTATGGGGTTCAAAGAACCATTGGTAAATCAAAAACGGGCCATTATCGACGTTCGATCAATAATCGTAAAGTAAAATCTACCAAGGGTGAGTTTTTTTTTTTTTTAATTTTTGGTGTACCTAATTGGATCAATATTGCAAAACAAATAGTGATATTAACCTACAGCTGCTATCGCCGTGAGATAAGATTAGCGTAGCGATAGGAGTCGCAAATTTACATGGCTGTATCTTTTGGAAGGTTTGTTTCTTGTCAACTCAATTTTAATAAAAACAAGTTTTCTGTTTTCTTTGTTATTACACTGATCGGTGAAAAACCAGATGCCTCGCCCAACTAGGGTTTCAGTTGAGATGTGCTAAAAAAAGTCTTGCAGGTTGTCTTGTATACCCGAATACATTCAACATGATGTAATTCAGGCGCAGCTGGCATGGATGTGAAAAAATTCGTCGGCACTTTGTACATAAAACTGTCAAAGCTTTGGATCCTGCACATGATGTGTGCAATAGGAGTGTTTTAGTCGACCCCAGAGTTACGGGCAAATTGTCGCAGCGGTACTCAATTAGTCGAGATAATTATACTTGGGTCGGGGCAAAGTGGCTGGGGACTGTTTAGGCAACCGATCGGTATAAAGTTGTTTCGAGCTGCGGAGAAACAGTAGCGTCGGGTAATTAGAGGATATTAAGAGCTGCTCTGTTGTAGCTCTGGCGATGATAATCATAAGAATGGAACTTTACGCTTTTGGACACCAAGTTCTTGCCACGACTGAATAATTGAATCGAAATTTTTTGTTTTTGGTGTTTCAATTATATTTGTTGTAGAGGTTTTTTTTTTTTTTCATAATCATGTGTCAAAAATGTTATCTCTTAAAGCAGATAAACATTTACGATGTACAATGCACGAGCTTTGCAGGGTTTAACTTTCCTTAAAGTACAAGAGCTATTACAAGAATTCACTTGTCGATTACAATAGTGTAAAAACTAGAAAAACAGCACTTAAATATATGTCATGTGTGAAAAATTGTCAATTTATCATATTTTAGGTTCACATTTGATAATATTAATTAAACAACTTAAATAAAAAAAAACAGAACAACTTGCTTTATTTAGTCTTAATGTAAAAAGAGTTTCCTCACTTTATAAATATGTGCAATCGCTTAACAAGAGTTTTCGCGCGTGCCCTGAATGTACTTTTGTCCAAAAAATAACTTTCAACTTGTTGCGTGTTGTAAAGACTTCGAAAAATTGTTCATCATGACCCTGTGTGTAAAACAAGATGTACTAAATGATGATAAAATGTAAAAGAAAAAAAAGTATTAAACTGCGTATCCATCAGTAATCGACAAAATCCAAGCGTATACAGTACGGAGAAGGGAGGACAAAGCTTTCTTTTTCCCAACACAAAAAATAATACTCCGCTTTCGTACTTCATTGATCATTTTTTAAATAGATTCAACAATTAACTTTAGTAGCTATTTTGAAACAAAGCCTCTTCCTTCATGGAACCAGCTAAAAAAAAAAAAAAAAAAAAAAAAAAAAAGAAGAAAAATAACAACAAAACATTAACAACAGCCCTTACATTCCATTTCTATACAGACGCAGCGGGAATCCGAGGAGCGCGCGCGAGTTATGCGGCGCTCGCTTCGCTGCAATGTTGTAATTAGCCGCTCGTGCACGCGAACTTCATTCACGACGGGTCTCGCGAGGAATCGCACGCCACCACCGACAGGTTTTCCTACCCTCCCTCCTGTTACTTCCGTGTTTATGGCGTGTTTATATACGTACATATACATACGACGTACAACGTGCGTGTGTACACTAGCTCAAAACTATAATGCAAACATATACCTCGAGAGCGGCTCTGTCTGTTTTGGCCAGTCCTCCCCGCTGCCGTTGCTTACTACGCCCTCCTTTATGCGTGCTCGTCATTTCCGCTAAAATAATGTCGCTTGACAAAATGCTTGTGACTCAAAAGGCTGGGTGACTCTGGTGGACCAATTAATGGGGAAAAAGTTCAGGCTGCCGTTGAACTACGACATGACGTTAAGTTGAATACTAACTATCTCTATGAATCATTAACGAAAATGAAATCAAAAGAACAACTGTTAAATTATTTTCAATTTTTTACAATTTTCACTGGCTATGGCGTATCAGTCTCATTGGACTAGAATTATGGATAAACTATCAAAATGTACACGTCACTTTACTGGGTGCAAAAACATGATAATCAACATGACAATCAACATTAATTTCGATACAATAGAAACTACATAAATTATTCTATTTCACTTGACTGGGAGTCAATTTTCTTCACGAGATTCGAGAATAATACTGATGGCGAGAGGATACCAAGTGTGGTCACGAAAATTGAAAATTTACTAATATTAGCACTTAACACGCATGTAAAAGAAACTTGACTACTATCTACTTAACACTTTGTTCTCCGTATACACTTTTCTTTCAATTGTAATTTAAATTATTTTACAATAGTCCGGGAAAAAAGTCCATCCACGTGTTCTCCGTTTAAATTAACACTGATGAAGTTGTCAGCGAAAATCACGATGATTCGGTATTCAGGATCCATCGATCGGATCGGATCAGCATAGCTCGAAATTTTCCGATTCCACAGTTCATTTCGTAACTCAAGTAACGGGTCGAAGCTAAGCGCCCAAAATTCTTCCTATCGTCAGGTTATACACACATTTGGTCGAGCGAGTGCGTAGCAGTCCCACCGATTCCGTCGGTTGGAGAGCATAGTTTTCGTCCCCTTACATTACTCCCCTGGGCTGATGATAATCCCGAGCCCTAATGCATTTTCCCGAAATTTCGGTCTGCGGAAAATTCCGGCTAACAGCACGAAAATTTGTTTCATGAATTCTCGAGATACCCCCAGTAATGGAATTAGTTGCCAATGAGATCAAAAACATCTAGTTTGTTCTCTCTCATCGTGAAAAACCAATTTTTTTTGTTAAACTTAT